CGATGTTCGTACAAACCCAGTTCCTGCTATAGCCATCCACCAGATATAGTCCTCCAAGTTCCAGCCAGATGTTTCATGAAGTAGATCCTCTCAATCTAGTTAGCCACCAAGCCAAGTTAGTATTGCTGCTAATACAAGGCATCAGGCTGCGTTATATAGTGGACTTACTCGTACCTATTGATCTCACATTCTTCGTACTTAGGTTTTTCACTAGATCAGACGTTAACCAGCTTAACCATCAAAATCTGTACTACTTCACCAAACTTGGGATTTCTACCATGCAGGTCTTCTGTCCATAAATCCTATCAAGATTTATTCATGTAATGTAACTCGAGTATTGCGTTATACTTCCAATATCTGATTGACATTGGTGCAATGTGATTTACAGAGTTGTAATCCCCAGAAATGAGCAGAGTTTACCATAAGTTGGGTACAAAGGTTCGAGTAATTATTTAAATTCATCGACAGTGGGATTTGAACCCTAGACCTCTTGTATGATGATCTGGCAATCTAACCACTACACTAAGATCGCCAGACCTCTAATAATATTCAAATTTTATTCTTTACTTATTGTGTATTTTAACTTTAATTTTTTTAGTTATTACTCTTATCCAAAAAATTTACTTATTAATGAATTAATTTCTATAATTTAAATAAATATTGTTCAAATTATTTTTAACTATAATAGCTAGGAAATTTATTGACTAGTTATAGAGATTCTAGTAAATTTATGTCTTTATATTTTGATTTTAAAAAAAAAAAAAATTTGTAAAAGTTTTTGAGATTAAAAGTTATCATGAATGATTATGAAATTAATATATCTAATTAGTTAGAGTTAGATAATCTGCAAATATTAGTCAATAGGTTTTTTAGATTTTATAATCATTCAAATTTCATAATCAGATATTTATCTATAGATTAATCTATAAATCAACTATAAGTTAATCACCTGTAAGTCAACTTATAAGTTATCTATTTGTTTTTACTCAGATTACTATAACTCTAACTTGGGTTATCTACTTATCTGTGAGTAATCTGAGTTATACTTAAAGTTTGTGACTAATATTAGCTTAAGTGCCTCCTAAAATAGAGTAACACAGAGTTATAGTTAACTATAAGAGTAATATTTACAGTAAGTAAAATAAGGCTAGAGAGTTTAAATAAGGAATCTTCTAAAAGATTTCAGATATGGTAGCTAATGTAGAACCTTCAAGCAGACTACTTAAAATAGACAACCTAAAATTGTATATGTAGCTAGTTGTACTTTCACAATATGTATTACTTCTAAAATTTATGAAATTAATAAAGTTTAGCTGATGGCATTTGTATAAAGTAAAAAAAAAAAAAAAAAAAAATATGTAGCAGTAAGTAATTATTTTTATAATAATAATAATTTAAAATTTTTAAAAATTTTTAACAAAAATATCTCAATAACTACCTAATTAAATTCAATAAAAATTTTTTTATTTTGATTCTACAAATATATTGAATCAAAATAAAAAAATTTTCATTAAATTTTATCAAGTAGTTGTTAAGATATTTTTGTTTAAAGTTTTTAATTTAAATATTAATTGCTAATATATTTTTTTAATTAATTAATAGATTAGTCAATAATATTAAATTTTTTAAAATTTATAATAAACCTTTAACACTATTTCTTGCAACTAGATTAGCATTAATAAGAGCAAGATTGTTTTTTGGAGTTGAAATTTTATCTAAATCAAATGAGATAATAAAACTTTGTGAAGATTTTAATTTTGATTCTATTATTCATAATTCTTTTTTTAAAGAAGCATTTCAACTTGCCTTAGCTAAATTTGACAAGCATATTAATAATAATTCTGCAATTTCAATTTTTAAGGCTACTAGATATTTTGATCCACGCTTTATTCAATTACAACCACACAATCACAATATGTTACTCTATAACGATATAAGAGAATTTAAAAATCCTACAAATGCATTAATTACAGAATGGGGAATTTATTGTGGTTTGAATGAATTGTTTGAAGAAAATTTTGATTTGGATAATTATTGGCAAGAAAAATTAGAAATTTTACCAAATTTATCTAAATTAGCATTAATTTATATTTGGTTACCTATTTCAGGTGTAGATGTAGAGCGTAGTTTCTCTACATATAATAGAATTTTAGCGGATAACAGACAGAATTTGTCTGAAAATTCGATTAGCATGTTGAATTTTTTAAATTTCAATAAATAAATAAAATTTATTATTTGTTTAAAAAAAATCGCATAATTTTACTATCATTTCGTATAATTTTCTGAATGGTGAACGTCGGGGGCATAATTTGGACCAATCGCACGCATCGCATAATCCACCCTTTCATTTCGCATCGCACTGAGGTCCCTAGGTAAGTGCTGAGATATCGTCATTAAAAGTTGCAAAAAATTGCAATTTCACAAGGAGGTATGGTTAATAAATTTGGGGGTATAAAAAATAGTACCCTACGGTTATTATACGGTATAATAGCCTGGTATTTATACCAAATCATATTATACCGTATAATTAATGTAGATACACATTAACCAATAAAGAAGTGAACCGAAGCTTAGTCGGGTCGAGTTTTTCGATGATCTTTTTCGTATATTTTCGGTATGTTTTTTTTACAATTACATCATGCCTCAAGGAAGGAATTGAAAAAGGTTTATCTCATGAGAAATAAATTTAACTGACTTTATTGAATTATACAAGTATAACAGGCGTTACCGCAAAATAAAGTGTAGCGGTTTGACCCAAAAATATAACACTGGTTATATCGATACTCCAATATATCCATATGTCGGCTTAACCGGAGGCATTTTCATATTAAGTATATAGGCTTAAATTTTTTTAAAAAAAATGTCGTTATAACTATTCGAACAGACAGGAAAGTTCGATTTTATTGGTTGATATGATTTTATTGTGATATGTTGTATATAATTCCAACACAATAAACAAGCTCGGGATCAAATCAAACCAAATATTATAATTTTACGTCAATCCGTTGCCAAAGCTTTGAATTTAAAATTGCATAAAATTTAGGTCTTATAGTGCTTAAATATAAGAATTAATTCGTATTTTTTATTACATTAAAAAACAAAAGCAATAAAGTCATTACACGCTTGAGAAAATTCTAATCGAAAAATTAAACTGGGTAGACTTTGAATAAAATGGTCGTTTAATTATTGTCGATTTTTTAATAGTTTTAAATGATACAATAAATAAATTACAAACCTAAACAAAACTTACAAGTCTAAAAAGAAAAAAAAAAAAAAATCTAATGTGACGATTCTTTTTCTTTTTCTTTCACTTTTCTTACATGACCACTGGATGCCAAAGATTCAGTTGCTGTGCTAGCACCACCAATCTAAATGAAAAAAATTGAGCATTATTACAAAATAAAAATAAAAATAAAAATGACAATAAAATATTGAATATCTTACTCGAACATGATTAAATTTAGGCAGCACCTAGCATATAATTAAATTAATAATAAATATTTGTTAAATGAATCAATTTAATAAAATTTCCTGGCAAGCTTACCTCACGAAGATAATCCAAATGACGAGTATGTAAGCTTGATTGTTGCTATTAAATTCAATGACAAAAAAGTATCACATATTGGTCATTTTGAATGGCATAAAAGTCATTATGAATACAATCATTCACTAAAATTTACGCTTGCGCATGCTGTCTGAGTTCTCCGGTTATGATGATCACCATATATAACAGTGTCATTAGGGATTACTTCATCTTGTCTGGTTGAACAAACAGCACCGATAACACAATTGTCACCTAATGACGTAGTCCCCAAGATTCTCGCTTTAGAATGAAGTATATAAGTAAAATTAATCATATGTAAATATTGTGAATATTCAATACTGAAGGAGATATTATATATTATATACTTGCCTTTTGCTTCTATTATATTTTTACTCCCAATTTTAGATCCCTCCACATCTAAATTTATTCAAAAAGTTTAACATAAATGAATATATAAGATAAAAAAAGATTCATGACAGAAAATAAAATTACAGCATCCAACTTCAAAGACATTTTCGTCTCCAATAATTAAGGATGTCGGTTGTCTAAAAATTATTGAGTTAAATTAATCAAACAAATTTAATATTTTGTGAGGAATAGTCTGTTTTCAGCTAAAACGCCGTACTTATTTATAATTGTCACATTTTCTTCTATGATATTGTTTGAGCCGATAACAATTGGGCCTGATTCGGCAAGGATCTTACATTGAGGATGCAAGACAGTTCCTAAGTATCAAAACGTCTTAAATCTAAAAATATTTGCTCCAAGAGAAGGCAAGAAGTGTAAAATTTCTTTAAAATACCTGAGCCTATAAAAGTTTAATAGTTACATTGTAATGTGTTAACTTCATAATAAAAAGGTCAATGCTAAATAAGTTTCGCAACAAAATAAACTTGGTCATTATCGTACCTATTTCAATTTCACCTTTCATTTCGGTGTCTTGGCACACAACAGCCCTCTTTCCAATCGTAAACAATTCTCTGCATAAATAAGATAAATTATATTAAATTAACAAAGAAAAAGCTCTTAAATTTCTTCAAACAATAATTACTTAGGCATTTTTATTATTATTATTGATATTTCGGTATTTCGGTTAAAAGTGAATTTTAATTTTTTTTTGATACCACGATTTTTTGCGGATGTTACGCAAATTACATTTACTCAATTTTCTCATGAAAAATCGACAAAAGGATGGATTGGTTGGATTTTAGTACCTGGTACGTTATCGGTCACACACGTTTTGTCACACTAGTTTTAATAGTAAATTTATATATGTTGTGCCTCAGATCGATGATTGCCTCAGGTGATAACTGAGGTGCCTCAGATCGGACGATCTACGGACAGTTCTTAGGGACAGTGCAATGACCAGAATTAGATTTAGGGTTAGGGTTAGAGTAGGTGTATATTGGTAATGTCAGTCACATAGCACTGTCCTTAAGAACTGTCCGTAGATTCACCGGCCTCAGATGTCGATCGTCATATGAGGTGCGTAACCTGTCAATCGGTCACCTAAGGTGCCTCGGTTGTCATCTGAAGTGCTTCAGTTATCAACTGAGGCAAAATATATTTTAATTAAACAATTTAATTGCAAACTTTGCCAAACTATACTTGAACATTTAAGAATAATCGCAATGAATTTATTATTGACAAATTCAAAAGACAATCAAATTTAAAAGCAGATAATAAATGATCGACGTACTCTCTCTTCTGACCATTTTCGTATAGGATCGAGAGTTTTTTAAATAGACAAAATAACCTTTACAAAGAACCTCACTAACTCTAAAAACAGTAACAGAACAGGGGCCTTCCCCCTAGTTCCTAGAAAAAATAAATTTTCTGCTATAGAAGAACTTAAAAACAAGAGGGTCAAACTTGTTACAAGTTTTTTTGCAGAAAAACAACTAGAGAATTTAGAAACTAACTTTTCCTCTATAACTAAAAATATGGCAACAGAAAGCAACCAAGCTACAAATTCTAGTTCACAATCTGACTTTTCTAACAACTCAGCTTCTAACTGGGATGAACAAGTCTCTCAAGAAAGAACAAATGAAAACTTTGAAGTAAACAAAAATAATAATACGAACACGTCTAAGTCTGAGTTACGTAACCAAGAGCAAAACAACAACAACAACATCTTTTCAACAATAACAACACATGTATCAGTACACGACTCTACCTCATCTAGCTCTAAAACAACTTCAGTAAACAACAACAACACGTTAAATAGGCCTTGGTCAAGTTTATTCGATAAAGTCAAAAGAGGTCGATCTACCTTCTCTTCTTATTCACCAAGAAATAATATCAAGTCAAAAAACAACAATGCTCTTATTTTAGACATACATAATTTAGATAGATCTCTAAATGAAATCATGATCTCTCTATATGAATCAGTTGGACATGATATTATAGCTGCTAAGCCATATATAAATAAGGGTATTCGTATATATATTAAACTCATTTTTACTAGCATAGACAAACTCAAATACTATGCTACTAAGGGAGTAGAGATATTTAATAAGACTTATTATGGTTATATTCCTATTGATACAAGAAAATCTTTTCTCTCAGTTAAGATCAGAAATGTTCCGTTAGGAGATAAAGATTTCATCTCTGATGAAATCAAGGAAGTCTTCGAAGATATTGGCCAAATTGCTTCCATTAAACTATTACTAATCGAAGGTACTCCATATCTAACTGATCAGCGGATAATCACCTTCGAAACTACTGAAGACCCTAATCTTGAAGAAAGAATTTCTCGTTTTTATATCCTTCTTGATAATAAGATTGTTACTGAATGGCGTTCAGCTCCTAAACTCTGCTATTTCTGCGACAAAGAAGGACACATCAAAAAGGATTGTGACCAATTTAAAGAAGCTACCTTGCTTCGCCAACAACATAAAGAATTTTTCTCTAACAAAAGAAAATCAAAAAATCTACTATCAGAAACCATGACTGAAAAAGTCAACTCACAAAATAGCTCTGAGGAAGTTATGAATATTGAAGAAACCAATGAGGCTCAAACTAAGAAAATCTCTATCTCTACCTCAGTTTCTGTCGAAAACAATACTACCAAAGAACTTTTTCCAACTGAATCTTCACTTGCCTCTTCAGAAAATGAAAAACATAATAAATCAGATAAAGAAAATACGATACCTGACAATATGTCAGTAGACTCTTCTGTAGAATCAGAAGAACCGACACCTCTAAACAATCCTATTGTCCTTATCACAAACGAGAGTAATTTACAATCTCACTCAGAATCAGCTGATGATGGATTCACAATAGTCTCAAAAAAAAGAAAAGATAAAAAAGATTATACGGTGCAGAAAACGGATCTAGCCAAATCTGCACCCTATAGAAAAACCCGTAAAGGGTACAAAACACACAGATCTAACTTTTTATCTCTTTTTTTTATTTATGACTGGACAATTTAAATTTAGAATTGCAACCCTTAATGTTAAGGGGCTAAACAATCAACAAAAACAACGAAACACTTTATCTCTTCTTAAATCTTATAAATTAGATTTAATTATGTTACAAGAAACTAATCTAAACGACAACAACACTATAAACTTTCTCAAAAATCAATGGATTTTTGATTCTATTTGGACCAACAAAACTGCTATTCTTGCAGGCAATAAGAATATAACCTTTAAAGACATCGAACTAGATCTAGATAATAGAGTTATCACTACAAACTTCAAGTTTAAAGATCTAACATTTCAAATCTCCAATATCTACGCTCCTCCAAATATAGGTGATAGAAAACTTTTCTTTGACAAATGGACTCCTCTACTTAAGGAAGACTCAATTAATATAATCGCTGGGGACTTCAACACAAATCTATACCCAGAAAAAGATAGAACCAGTATAGCAACTCCCCAACAGGATATAACGAGATCACAATTACAAGATCTCACTAAAAATTTCTCTGATTCCTCAGACTTAGCCAAGTCTAGACCAT